ACCGCTGCCCCTTACCTTTGTCTTGTTTCTTTTAGTACTGACAATGCTATAGATTGCCGGCATCGTTGGAAAATACGTCGAGTACCCGTTCGACACCATCAAGGTCCGCCTCCAGAGCCAGCCCGACCACCTGCCATTGAAGTACAAGGGCGCCATCGATTGCTTCCGACAGTCTATACAGAGCGAGGGTGTGCTAGGGCTGTACCGTGGCATCAGCGCGCCACTCGTTGGGGCTGCCGCCGAGACCAGCAGCCTGTTCCTCTTCGAGAGCGCTGGGCGCGAGCTTCTCTACTTGTCCAAGTTCGCGTCGCGGACCGATGAGCTGTCGCTGCCGGTTCTGTGGCTTACTGGAGCCTTCTCCGGCACATGCACGTCCTTTGTCCTGACGCCCATCGAGCTGGTCAAGTGCAAGATCCAGGCTCCGGCCATGACCGGGGGGATTGGGGCTGCGCCCCTTCGGCCGATCCCTATCATACGGGACATACTCCGCCACGAGGGGCTGCGCGGCTTCTGGCACGGGCAGATGGGGACCCTGATCCGGGAAGCGGGGGGGTGCGCGGCTTGGTTCGGTGCCAAGGAGACAGTCACGAAGCTCTTTTACAACATCGAAGCCGGCCGAGCGACTTCTGAGGCCGAGAAGGAGGCCATCAGATCGAAGCCTCTCGCTCTATGGCAGCAGGCACTCGCAGGAGCATCTGCAGGAGTCTCTTACAACTTCCTCTTCTTCCCTGCCGACACCATTAAGTCTCGCATGCAGACCATGGCCATTGGCGACATCAAGGGGCGCCGGACTTTTATGCATGAGGGCGCCGTGCTATGGAAGCAGCACGGTCTCCGAGGCATGTACCGAGGATGCGGCATCACTTGCCTCCGGTCCGCGCCCAGTTCGGCGTTCATCTTCATGGTATATGACGGACTAAAGAGGCACTTCCCCCTGCAATAACAATGAAGGCACTCGCACGCGCGCCCCTGGGACGCTGGCGTGTTTGCTCCTCCCTTTTTCCTTGCTTCCTTCTTCTCATTCTTTAGCATTCAACTGGCACATTGTCTGGCTGGCATTTGGACGGGCGTTGGCTGATCTTGTCAAAAAGTTTCTCTGCGCAAATATTTGGATAGATGGTACATGATAGATATGACCTTGACATTACTTTTCCCAATTTTCGGCTGGTGGTAGGTGTGAGATACTGGCGCCCAGTCATTTCCCCGCAAACACGTATCCGGGGTACATCTGCAGCCTTAGTCAAGCTTGTCCACCTCGGAGACTTCCAGATCCCATCCATTAAGGTAGCCGGTACCGGCGCAGAGGTAGGTAGCGAAGCTCAGCCAGCCCAAGTAGGGAAGCTGACAGTAGGCGGCAATGGGGTCGATGGAGCTCCAGAGATACGTCAGGTAGCCATTGACGCCCAGAAGGGCTGCGATGTCAATAGTGGCCTCGATCGGGCGTCTTGCCGTGAAGAAGATGGGGGTCCAGACAAGGTTGAGTACCAGCTGCGTCGTGTACAGCGTCATAGATTCCTTGGTCAACTGAACGAGCGAGGGCGACGACAGAGGCGAGAGCCCAATGGTAGTGGCGCGATATGCAGCATAACCCATGAGGCTGCATAGCAAGGGTTAGCAGACATCAAAGGGAGCAGCGGCTGTTCATACCCATAAAGAGCTGTCCAAACGGGCGCAAAGACCCAAGGAGGAGGCGCCAGAGATGGCTGCTTCAGTGCGAGGTATCTGTTCTTATTCTGGGTGCCTGGCAAACGATGATGTTCGTTAGCTACAATGTACAATACGCAGTGATCAACACGTACGGCCAGTCATGAAGCCAACACCCAAGCCAAGGGTAACAGGCAGGAGAATGGATGCCGCAGGATTCTGGAAGACGGCCGCCGGGAGCGTGATGGAGGGGATATAAGTCGTCATCTTGAGGATTTATTCGATTGACGCTGCTTAGATGCTTGGTGATGCTTTGGCAAAGCAGAGCTGAGTTGCGACTAAGACAGCTGTCGAACGATGTGCATCCCACGACGGCACTAGCGCATGTAGCTGGCCTTATTGGTCGTTGATCTATGACGTAAATGGTGCCTTGCCGGATTGAGCATTTTGCCGAGGCGCATCCTACATCCGGAGTACTCCGTATACCTACAATAAAGAGTGCCATTCAAGTGCATGCATGCATGCACCAATAATCTCATCCCCGCACTAGCTGCAATAGAGGCATCCTCTGACACGGTTCCATGCGACCCAGAAACTAGTGTGGGAAATCGAGCATGAAATTTCGGTGGTGGAATCAATTAAGGAAATTGAATGGGAATGGCACCAATAATTGGTTGTCGGCTCAGCAACTCCAGGCGGGTCTCCGCACGGACCATGGGCAGGGGGTTTAATGGGTTTCGCGACTGGCGTCGCGTCTGCGCGAGCCAAAACGCGTCGGGAACACGCTTCCCTGAACCAGGATCATGGCGCGCGGCTACCAATCTCAAAAATCGGTAATAACGCATTGGTACCTGCCCCAATGTAGCCTCCTTCCAACTCATCCATTCCTTCTTTCCATCAAACCATCCTGCACAACACAACGTCTCCTTCCCACATAATACACACTCTCTTGATCTAATTCACTACACGCCTGGTTTCGTTTGCAGGAAGGAAGTACACAGCACAAATGGCCGCCTCCACCCTGGGAAAGAGGACTCGGCTGGTGGTCGAGATTGGTACGTCGAAACGGCTATCACACGCCTACCTCATCAGCCTTGGTGCTAACACAGGCTCAACAGCAGCAGGCAGTTCGCCCAGCAAGAAGCTTCGGTCTTCTCCCTCGGCAGCTTCGTTGAATGACGAGAACCACGATCCTCAAGACGCCGAACAGAACGCGGACAACGATGAGGATGACTTGGCCGAGCTCCCTTCCAAAAGACATCGCTCGTCCTTCTCGCAAGCCTCCCCCGTCAAGAAGAACCCAGTTACGCCTTCAACGCCACGCCATCGGGATGTCTTGGGCAGCTGGCCGACCACTCCTCGCCATGCCGTCATGTCGGCTGGCAAACTCTTCACGCGCATGACGCCTCAGTCGGGAGCTACCCCCAGCTCTCCCAGCACGATTCAGACAGTCTACCACACAGCACGTCAACTCTTTGCCCGCGGGTCCGAGCCTGGTGAACTGGTTGGCAGGGACGCAGAGAGGGAGCAGCTGTCCAAGTTCCTGGATCGTTGCTCGTCCGCCACTCCCAACGGTTGTCTCTACGTCAGTGGTCCCCCCGGGACGGGTAAGAGCGCCATGGTCACAAGCATGGTTGGAGAATACCCCAAGAAAGAGGGAGTCCGATCCGCATACATCAACTGCATGAGCATCAAGTCATCAAAGGACCTGTACAACAGCTTGATCACTGAGTTGGGCCAGCCTGGCGACTTGTCCGAGGCGGATGCTGTTACTGCTCTGCATGAGACGTTCTGCTCCACCACGCCCTCATCAACTACATACCTGGTTACTCTGGACGAGATCGACCACATCCTCACCATGGGTCTCGAAAGCCTCTACCGACTCTTTGAGTGGTCCCTGTACAAGTCCTCTCGGCTTGTCCTCGTTGGCATTGCCAATGCTCTGGATCTCACCGACCGGTTCTTGCCACGCCTCAAATCGAAGAACTTGAAGCCTGACCTCCTGCCTTTTCTGCCCTACACCGCCGCTCAGGTGAAGAACATCATCACCACACGCCTCAAGTCGCTCATGACGGAGGGAAAGGAGAACTATGTACCGTTTATACACCCAGCTGCCATTGAGCTTTGCTCTCGCAAAGTATCCAGCCAGACGGGCGATTTACGCAAGGCATTCGAAATCTGCCGCCGGGCCCTCGACTTGATTGAGGCAGAGACGAGGGGAAAGCATGAGGACGAGGCCAGGGAGAAGCTTCTGCAGATGACGCCTTCGAAGAGACCGCTCGGCGAAAAGGTCAATGGCTCCTCTCGCATGGGCGGCTCATCCCGAAGTGTTGTCGAATTGATGACTCTGTCTCTCAAGAGCCTGACGGCCGAGACTGCCCCCAGGGCCTCGATTGCCCATCTGAACAAGGTCACAGCAGCAGCATTCAGCAACGGCACCACCCAGCGCCTCAAGGCCCTCAACCTTCAGCAGAGAGCTGCTCTTTGTGCGCTTGTTGCCTATGAGAACAGAACTCGGGCCAAGGCAAAGTCGGGCGGTGGTTTGTTCCCATCGACTCCGTCCAAAGCCCAGATCTCGGCGCCGACCATCAAGATCCTCTTCGATACATACTGCCGGCTCTGCCTTCGCGACTCGGTCCTCCATCCGCTCTCCAGCTCCGAGTTCAGAGAGGTGGTTGGCAGTCTGGAGACTCTTGGCCTTGTCGCAGCAGTCGATGGAAAGAGTGGCAGCTTCACGCCACAAACCCCGTCTAAGAGGGGACGCAAGAGTGCTATCACTGTGGGTGGCGACGAGAAGCGCATCGCAAGCTGCGCCGGTGAGAAGGAGATTGAGTGTGTGGCAGAGGGTGTTGGTGCATCCATTTTGAGGAGTATTCTGAACGGAGACGCATTGGATTAAAGGCATCGGGACTTGGTTGAACTGGGTTAATGATTGATTGATTGATTTCTGCATCACGCATGGCCGGCGTCTTTGGGAGGAAATAGATTAGGAAAGCATTGGGGGATTTGGCGCATCACTCGAACTGGAAGGGCTCATGTACTAGCATATGATTATAAGAATACCACTCGCATAGCCGGACAATTGTAACACAATCAGTATCATGGCTCAACAGCGCAAGATGATTCGTATTAGGGTGAGTTTCATATGTGAGCTTCGGTGCTCATTGGAAGTATTTAAAAACTGGATTGATAGACAATACTGAGTTTACACAACTTGACTCTCAACTGAGCGTCTACAGCAATCCACCAATATGGAAAGGTGGAAAGAATGAGAGATCCATGGCTTGGAGCAAAAAAAGAAAAGAAATTCGACTGCCGGAGAAAAAGCAAAAGAGAAACCCGCGACACCTTTCATTCTCCGATACCGAGAGTCGAACTCGGGGCTTTCCGGTGAAAGCGGAATAGGTTAGCCGTTACCCCATATCGGACAGTGTATTTGTGTCACTGGTTGATGCCGCAGTTGATGTCTACTTTGATCTATAGAGCCAGCGCTTAGCACATTTCAAACACCACGCCATGTACCATGTACGTAAGTTGATGCCTCGAGGCGCTCCACTTGGGCTCGTCTACTCATTCACAAAAGGGGCCAAGCGGGCATGAGGCGTGCGATGTTGAAGATAAGCCGGTTGTTCCGGAATGAGGATCTTATGGGGAGGGAGCGCCAGCGGGTCATTGACTTCCCCTCCGACAAGCCCATCAACCAGGGATCAGGGGAGAACCAAGTCTTTTCTCATTCCTATTGATAAGGCAGAGAGAGAGTGTGTGGGAGAGAGCAAGAGGCTGAGATTCCATACGCAAAGCCCAGCAAGCACGCTGAGGGGGCGGTAGACGGATCCTCCCTTTCCCCTATTATCTTGCTATTACTGGGGATATCGGATGCTGCTTGCCGTGGGAAACCCACCCAGATGCACAATGATGCGGCCGAGCCTTCGAGACGGAGGTAGTGATACTTGTGCCAATGCCCAGATTCAGGGACGGAAGAGGGTACCCTGATGTACACCTTACCCATGGTATCCGTCCAAGACTCAGGGAGTTCCCCATCGCCCAGCCTAGCCAGAGTCAGTTAAGAGTGCCTTCCAGCGCGTCCATGAGCGCAGCACCCCTCCACCCTCCTCCGCCCCTCTATCCGCATCTCCATGCCTCCCCAGCTGCAAGTATGCACCAGGACCTGTTCGATTGTTGGCGCCCAGGGCTGTGAAAATGCTTACAGCTGCTCCTTGGCTACATCGGGCACATCGGGCTAGACCCCAACCAACCCCCCTACAGATGCGCTGCACTTCACACCCCCCCTGTTTTAATCATCAGGCCATCCTTACAGCCCGTTTACAGGTTTGCAAGCAGCACTGCTGTATTGGCTGAATTGGTAAGGCAATTCCATGCTAGATAAGTAATACGGAGTACCTTGCTAGGCAACGCCAGAGACGGGCACCTAAATGATTCGATCCCCGCCTCGCGCAAGCACGCACGAGCCGCCCACCAATCCTACCACAGCCCACCTACAGCATCGTGAACACGGCACTGTATGTGCCACCACACCCGTCCACACATCCATTGCCCTTCACCTCTGCTTCTATACCTCCATACTCCGCACACATCTGTGTACTCGGCCTAGCTCTGCCTCCCTCGCCTCGCCTCGCCTCGCCAACCCCGTCTCCCACGAGTGCCACGGATAGCAACATCGCGTAGGGCTGGGGATCCTTTTGGGGGGACCTCACACGACCGTCGGGCGCAGCACCACGACATCAGCGTCGCCCTCCATCGCCTACATGCGACGGCGTTGAAAGCGGGCGCCCACCTCGAGCTTCTTCGACATCTCGCTCAGCAACCCCACGCACCTCCTTGGCCATCGTCCTTTGCTCCCGCTCTCAATCCCGCCGCGGCCTGCTGCCACCGCGTCTCCCGGATCTCCATGCCGTCCGCCGCGTCGCAGCGAGGCATCGGCCAGCTCTCGACGTCGTCGCACTCCCTGCCCAACACCGCCGACGAGGGAGCGGCCTCGTCCTCGTCATCACTCGCCGCGCCTCTACCCCCGACGACCCCTTCGCCCTCGACGTCTCGGCCGAGCCTGCTGTCGCGTCTCAGCCTACCTCTGCCACTCCGCAACCGCAACCGCAATGTCGCCGATTTCCACGTACGCCCCGACGAGCCCTACCGCAATTATGGCGCCGGCGATCACGTCCGCGGCTCCGTCGTCCTCACTATTGTCAAGCCAGTGCGCATGACGCATCTCGTCGTCTCCCTGACGGGCTTCGTGCGCGTCTTCAAGGATCCGGTAGCAGGATTTGGGAAGATGCAGAGCGCCGCCGCCCTGCTGCCGCACGGCGGATCGACGCGACCGCAATACCATGGCAACGGCCTCGCCAGCTTGTTTCAGGATGAACAGGTCTTGAGCGGCGAGGGCAGGCTCGATCCCGGCAAATATGAGTTCGGCTTCGACCTAGTCTTCCCGGAGAAGGGTCTGCCTAGCAGCATCGACGTATGTAACCCGATGTTACCCATGACCCAAGAGCCGCTTCGGTCTTGGCAGAGCTTCCAACGCTGACATGTGCAGTTTGAACGTGGGACGATATCCTACATGGTCACGGCTACGTTGACGAGACCGACCTCGATCAACGCCACCACGTCGTGCGACAGGCGGGTCGTGTTGGTAGAAAAGGTCGACATTGGGCTGCTTCCGCCACCAAGGCCGAGAACAATTTTCCTGGAGCCCATCTCGAAACGGACGCGGCGGCGGAAATCGATGGGCCTGGACAAAGCAGCCGTCATCACCCCCGATATTACCGAAGTCGCCTCCGAGGCCGAGACCGTCAGTCCTGCGACGGTACATGACGATCCGACGACCCCCCGCGATCAATCAGCCGAGCAGCGAAGCCCAGTCCAGTACGACATGCGCAGCGAGAGCGGCGGCAGCGCCCGTAGCGTAAGCACTGCCATCAGCCGCACAGAGTTCGCGCAGTTATCTCAGGTCGGCACGACCTTTGCCTCCCCCTCCAAGCAGCAGGTGGTAGACAACAAGACCATTACCACGACGATTGAGCTACTCAGGGGAGGCTGCCTCCCTGGCGACATGGTGTCGGTGCGGGTGACTGTGCAGCACGTCAAGCGCATCAAGAGCATGACGGGTGTGGTGGTGACGCTATTTCGCCAGGGCAAAATTGATACGTCACCACCGCAGTCCGCCTTTGGAGGCCTGGTGGGTCGCAACGAGTTCAAGAGCATGCAGAAGGACGACATCTATCCAAGATCGCGCACAGGAATCGGCGGCTTGTCGCTGTCGTCTACCAGCTCCACGAGCATGTTTCGCAAAGATCTGGACCAGAATGCCGCCCCCCTAATAACGGACCCAGAGACACTGCAGGCCGTCGTCACGGTTTCTCTCAAGATTCCAGACGACGCATTCCCCACCATAATGGGAGTGCCGGGGGACATGATCGGGTTCAAGTACCAGGTCGAGGTCATTGTCGATCTGGGTGGTAGGCTCTCCAATATGATCCAGAGCGGGTCTTCTTCCACCTCGCGGTTTGGTCCCTTCAGCGCAAACGCCTCTGATCAGAGCAACTCCGTGTATGGTTCAAGAAGGGGGAGTGTTGTTGCCGACACGGCCCCTCTGAGGAGAGAAAAGGGCGTCGTCTCTGTGACCATGGAGACGGTTGTCGGAACAGTCGACAGCTCACGAGGTCAGAAGAAGCGGGACTCGCCACGTAGAGTATCCCGCGCCGTCGAGAGCGACGACGATGATGCTATCCGCCCCGACACGGCTCATCCGGAAGAGATCCCTTACACTCCCCCTTATACCAATGGCCATCCGGCGCCTGGCGGTCATTCTGCTCAGCCGGGTGGCCCAACATACTTTTCCATACCGCCCCCTTCCTTTCCTTCCCATCTCCAGCTCCAAACCACTTCACTGCCGGGGCCGTCACAACCTGGCTATAATCATGTACAAGACGCCAGTCCTGTCTACGTTCCTCCTCCCCAGCTACCACAACAACATAATATGTCAGAAAAAGATCGCATACGGTTAGCGGAGACGAGGCTGCTGCCCAGTCAGCCTCCAGCTGGGCCCTCGGAAGCCCCCAGTGCGCCCGAGGCTACAGATGACGATGATATTTACGATGCGGAGGCACCGCCTCGGCCAGCAGACTCTGCTTTGCCTCCTGCCGATGTCGATGCCGGGCCGTCTGCGCCAACGGAAGAAGAGGTTTCGAGTCCTGCCAATGTGCCTCACGAGGATAAACAGGAGCGCGAGCGGCAGCGATTGATGAACGAGGCAAGCGCGCCTCCAGATATGCCAGCCGATATAGAGCAGGGCAACGGCGGACCAAGCACAGCTGCAGAGGCGGAGCCTAGCGCGCCCGTGCTGGATGAAGAGGACGGCGATCCATACTCGGGATATGGGGTCGGCGCAGGCCCGTCGAGGCGCGGCGGGAGCCACGACGCAGAACCGCTGCCGGCATATGAGCGATGATGATCAACATGAAGATTCACGGCCGCTTATCAACTCAGGAACCATTATTTTGTCACTTGTAGGATTGGTATTGTACGAGTCCATGGTCGCATACAGGGCGGTGCCATTACTAGATGGCTAAGGGCTCTAGCCGAAAAGGAGTTTTATATCACGGTTGATTGGACGTCTGGCGCATATTGGGTGGGATTTATTAGGCCATTTGCTACATGTTGGGAGAATACACACTTGGTGGTTCTTAGAACACTGTCTCTTTGTTACCGATGCCGTGATAATCTGTAGACATGCATCTGCTTGAGGCGCTCAGGAGGCAAGGAGGAGTGGGTAAGTCATCGCTGTATTTAACTGTTGTAGTTCTGTTGTATATGGAATTCTACATGTACATTGTTCTACAGTGAGTGGGATATCAACCCGTCGACTCGATGCGTTGAGTACTATTCTACTAATCATCCCTGCTCCCATCAGGCCATTCCGATCAAATGTCGTTCCATATGCACGTGAGCATCTCGATGCTCCCAGAAACTCACCGTCAACCCTCGTTGCCTTTTTTCATAAACCCTCTAGTGCTCGAGAACAATCGGTTTTCCCCTTTCCCAATTGTCGAGGCTCTCCTTGATGTTGACCCAGTACCGCAGCCGGACAGCCTCGCGCTTGGCGACGTCGACATCATCGGCTTGAAAGGCCTGTTCGAGGGCGCCCTCGCTCTCAGCAATGCGCTCGTTGTTACGGGCACGCGGTTCCTCGAGGTCGGACTCGGACTCCGCAGCGGCAATCTCCTCGCGTGCCTCGAGCACCTCCATGAGCAGGTCGGGCTCGTCCACCTTGAGGCTCTCGTCCTCGGCCACATCGACACCCCGCAGGGACAGGAGGTACTGCGCGCGCAGGAGCGGGTTGGACAGCGTGCGGTAGGCCTCGTTGATGAGCGCCGAGGCCGACTCGGCAGCGGCCTTGGACTCGGCCGGGTGC